GAGGCAGAGAGGGGGCTGCCAGGCGGTGAGGGGGAGGCCGCCAGCCGCAGGTTGAGCTTGGCAATGAGCGGCTTCCCCACACTCACCATGCGCCTCTCCTCCACGAAGTCGTCCATGCCCCGGTAGCGGTACTGCAGGCAGACAGTGAACGCCAGCTCCTGCTGCAGGGGCACCGGCAGTGTGGACACCTGTCCTGCACCATGGCCATGCCATACTCCCAGCACTGGCCCCCAGGGTGGCTCTTACCTGCAGTTTCTGCAAGCCACAGAGCCGGCTGTAGAGGCAGCAGGAGGGGGCTCGAGGCTCCACGTGGGTGCCAGTGGACTGCCCACCTCCTCTGGGCTCTCCTTGTTGATGTACTTGAGGTCCACATCCAGCACCTGCATCCAGCATCCAGCCATGGAAACCACTGTGGGCCCCCCTCCCTATTGCCCAGCATCACCCCAGCACAGGCTTCGGCAACCCACTCCCACCTCAGGTATGTCAGTGAGCTTGGCCTCGCACTTGGCAATGTTCTCGGGGCCAGTCACTATGCGGGTATAGATGATCATGATGTTGGAGAACTCGGCAGCGAAGCCCAGCTGGACGGTGACACCACAGTCAAAGTGGAGGTGCCGGCTCTCCGGCAGCACTGGGGAGGGAACAGAGAGCATGGGGCTGGGACCTGCAGGTGCTTGGGGCTTGGGATGAGAGGAATGCTGGGGGTCACCCCAGAGGGGGAAGCCAACATGATACTCCTGCCACCAGGCTGGCAGTTCTCTGCTGGTGGTTCCTTTCTTCCAGGGTGGGAGAAACTCAGCAGGTGCTGCCCACCACCTATCTCTGTGACTCGGTGCTGTCTCCCCTGCTGCCTGTCAGCTCTGGATGGGTCGGCCATGACTCACCGTGAGCCTTGGCCCACTGCAGGTTCCTGGCGGAGGACTCATCCTGGCCCGGGGGGCGGATGGGGTCTGTCAGAGCTCGTCTCTCCGAGAGGTTGCTGCGGAGCTCCAGCGCCTGTCGGCCCCGTGTGATCTCCAGTGTGCCCATGTCTGCAGGGGGCATGGCGAGTCGGTGGGAACTGATGGGGGTCTTGATGGGTCCCACACCACTTCCCACTCACCCTCGGCCACCTTGTCCAGGAGCACTGTGATCTTCTCGTCCTCTAGCAGCCAGCGCTTGAGGAAGGTGACGAAGACGCCATTGGAGAGCTCACCCTGGCTCAGCTCATAGGCTTCAGCGTCCGCACACCTGCAGGGACAGCGCAGCCGTTGGCTCTGTCATGGGCTCAGTCACTCCCCTGGAAATCAGCCCCACCGAGGCCCTAGCCATGGGGAAGCCAAAGCCAGGCACCCACAGCTCTACCCACTCCCATCGACCCATCTGGCCACTGTGTCAGGGAGAGGTGGGAGCCACGGCCAGATCCTGGATGCTTAAAGCATCATCAGCCCAAATCCCTGTGCTCCAGAGGAGTCTCAGTGCTTAATCTCCTTGGGTGGTGCCCAAAGCTGAGCAGTGCTGTGGCCATCTCCCTGCCCTGTGAGGGACCAGGGGCTGCCGCTTGTCCACCACCTCCAGCATCGACCTGAGGCAATGACACTGCTGATATGTGGGGCAGCAAAGACATGGGTGCAAAAAAGGGCTGAGCCCCAGCCACACTCTGAGCCAGGGAAAGGGACTCAGCCCCACTGCCTATGTTGTGGGGTGGTGAGGAGGGGACTCACGTGGCGTAGCCAAAGACGATGTTGGCTGTGACCTGCAGCGCCCCAACCTGTGGGATGA